TTAACGTGAAACTCGTCAAACAGTCGGCCATTCGCACGTTTAATTTTTCATGAATTGTCGGCCAGTAGCGGTACTCGACGAGCGTCGGTTTATTATTCAAATACTCAAGTTGTGTACTTGTTCAATATCGTACTTAGTGATTATTTAAAGATACATTTATTTAATACGCTTTAAGGGTTCAGAGTTTTTGTACATTATAGGGTACTGATACAGATATTTGACTCAAAATAAGTAAAAAACGACTTGCGTATTTACTGGGAGGGCATCTTTTGAGCCTGCACGGGTAGGTACCACCTCTCTGCCTAATTCTGTCGTTGTACCATAAAAACTGAAAAATAGAACTCATGACTCATTTTTTTTCCTACCTATGTTGATAGCCTTGAGAGGCTATTTCTCTACGATTACGAAACAGTGCAATGCTTTGATCTGGCCTGGGCCGTACTACCCTCGAATCGGTCATCCTACGATTGTCTCACAGTAACCGAAGACTGAAGACTGAAGGAGGAGAACGAAACATTTTTGAATCTATATATATATAAATGAATTGCTGTTCGTTAGTCTCGCTAAAACTCGAGAACGGCTAGACCGGTTTGGCTAATTTTGGTCTTGAATTATTTGTAGAAGTCCAGAGAAGGTTTACAAGGTAGAAAAACATGAAAATGCTCGGAATGAAATAAAAATAACAATTTTGTTTTCCCTTGGATGTGTACCCCGTCGGACGGATTCCTTTTGTTTGTTTTAAGTTTATTTTATACAAAAGTTTAGGTCTTTTATTTATCGATTGAGGCACTACGAAGTCAGCCGGGTCAGCTAGTACTATATAAAAGTAGATCACCACTGACGGTGGGGACCGAAGCTATCAGAGGTTGAAGTTCCAGAGTGCCTCTTCACAACATACACTGTGTCAGTAATAATTATTTTTGCTATTACGAAAATGATATGCTATTTTGTTCATCCATTCTTGTTCAATGCAGCGAACTTTATTATTCAGACGTTTCCCTGTTTGAATTATTTAATAGTTCACTTCATAACGAAGTATAACGTACTTTAGATAATGGTATGGTTCGAAGAGAAAATGAAGCACATTATAATATATTTTCAGAGAATAAACTCTTTGTTTTAATGCATAGTGTTCATTTTGTTCGATGTTAATTTTCGGAGCATCCGATGAAATAAATTTTCGAATATATTGTTAATAAATTATTTGATATTTACTAAAGCTTTTATAGCTTCCGTCACTAGTATTGACGGTGAGGCAGATGACGTATTTTTGGGGCTAGTATTATCCAAAATATATCCACTCCAGTTTATAAGACGTTCATCACCGGCATCTTCATTTGGGTAAGACCTTAAGTGTCCAGAAATATCCATAAAACTAATGCGAAATCAAATTTTTGAAGCTATACTAAAAACTATAATATTTCAAAAACATTAGCCCGAGTTTCATGAATTCCTAAAAAAAGGCTCATAAAACAAGCAAAGCGGGTAGAGCCGTCCTAATATTGTTTTTCGATAACGCGGAGTCAGCAAGCTACTCACCCTGTGGTCTATTGACCGCGCATTTGCTTAAAATATCGCTTTCATGTACCGCATTTTGTGGATCAAGTATGTTCGGTCGGTTTTTGGGATAAAGACATCTATAACGTCTCGGGTTAGGTCACTTTTTCTGTGCACCAATTTATAAGTACCTTTTCGAACATATTATGTTTGAAAGTGTTCTTTTGATTATTCTCAAGTGCAGACATGCATTAAACGTTCTGCATGTTTCAAGTTTATCTGACCCAAAGTATAAACTAGTGAAATTATTTTCTATCGAACAATTATTGAGAAATTACAAGTATACGAACTTCTTTATAACCTCTAAAATCTTTTCACTCCTAAACAACACTCCTCCACCACCTTCCTTAAGTACTGGTAGGTAGAGTTTGTTGAAATCCTGTGGGCAATACCATCTTGCTTATTGAATTAGTAGTGAATTACCTGAGCCCCCTGACCACCATCTTGAGTTGACAATATATGACTGACACGGTGATGCAGTGTTAGAACCCTTGACTCTTGCGTGGAGGGTAGTGGGTTCGATTCCCACATTCAGCAAATATTATGTGGTTTGTTTGCTCTTTGTCCGAGTGCTTACTATGTATATATATGAAACGCATATAAGTATGATGATCAATCTCTGATACCCATAACACAGGGATCCTAAAATGAAGTCGAATGACCGTGCGTAATTACTTCCCAGTGTTTATTATTATTAGTCACTAGCTGACCCGGCAGACTTCGTAGTGCCTCAATCGATAAATAAAAGACATATGAAGGGGACACATGAAAGGAAAAACAAAATTGTTTGTTTTTATATAATTCCGAGCATTTTTATATTTTCTCACCTTTTAAACCTCCTCTGGACTTCCACAAATAATTCAAGACCAAAATTAGTCAAATCGATCTAGCCGTTCTCGAGTTTTAGCGTGAATAACGAACAGCAATTCATTTTTATATATATAGAGATTATATAGCAGTAACATCACCGTATGGGGAACACATAAATCACTAAAATCGACAACGACACTATCTCACAAAGTATCCGGCAAATAAACGACGCACGCATAGTAATAGTGTTTATGCAAATTAATATACAATATGTATATGGTTAATCTGCAAGTGATATCGCCCGGAAGACGATGTCCATTGCTATCTTTGACGATGAGTTGAGTTTGTTGAATTATCATGAAATTGAGACACACTGTTGTCTGTAACATCAAGCATTTTATAATTTAATTATTTATAAGTACCTTGCGTAGAGTATCCTTAATTAATAATAATAACACTTTATTTAACACCATATGTACAGAGTGAGCAAATAAAACAAATAATAGTCAGTGACATAAATTGGCGGCCTTATCGCTGAAAGCGATCTCTTCCAGGCAACCTTGCAGGGAGAGGAATAAGTGAACTTTGTTGAACTTTTTTTGAACCTTAATTGTTGTACTTAAGATATTGACCACCTCGGAAAAACTAGTATAAACGAGTTTGTACTTCAACATAATTTTAATTTACATTTTTATTAGATATTACACTTTTAATTTTCTCCACGAAGTTTCTTACAAGCGCGTAGAATCTTATAAGAATAATAGTTGTACCCGTCCGCTTCGATGGGCATTTAAGATTAACATTATGAAGTCGTCGTGGCCTAACGGATAAGACGTCCGATGTATTCGTGTTGAGCGATGCACCGGTGTTCGAATCTCAGGCGGGTACCAATATTTCTAATGAAATACGTACTCAAAAAATGTTCACGATTGACTTCCACGGTGAAGGAATGACATCGTGTAATAAAAATGAAACCCGCAAAATTATAATTTGCGTAATTACTGGTGGGAGGACCTCTTGTGAGTCCGCGCGGGTAGGTACCACCGCCCTACCTATTTCTGCCGTGAAGCAGTAATGCGTTTCGGTTTGAAGGGTGGGGCAGCCGTTGTGACTATACTGAGACCTTAGAACTTATATATCAAGGTGGGTGGCGCATTTACGTTGTAGATGTATATAGGCTCCAGTAACCACTTAACACCAGGTGGGCTGTGAGCTCGTCCACACATCTAAGCAATAAAAAAAAAGACTAATGTGAATGGATAGAATACGGTAAAGCATCAAGATATTGCTATTTCATTCCTTGCCGCCGTAATTTGAAAGAAAACATTTTTATTTTCGACAGAAATAATTAATGTTTCAAACAAACGTAGCTCAGGGCATTCATTGTTTTAGCGTGAAAGTAAATTAAATAAACCCTTTGCTAAACGAATTAATTCTAAAAAGTCTTTTTCATTCGCGTATTTTGATGAAGTTTTATAATAAATAAAGATTCTAATGTAACTAGAAACATTTTAGTTTGCGAAACAAATTTAATTGTTTGCTTAAATTTACGACTACTCGGCGAGAAAATTCTAGAATAATTTTACAATGAATTACATTAAAATATCTGCCACGACGTAACCGTGGATTCCGTTTGATGCTGTTCTAGCAAACATTGACTCATCTCGACAATTTATAAATATGTATTTTGTAAATTTAATCAGTGTTTTACGTATATTTTTAATAGTATTAAATCTTCAGTGAGTATACGGGCTCTTTATTATATTTTATTTTTCTTTTCGCTCAAGTACCTGTAGGTACCTGTGTTATCAATGTAACCATACAAAGCTGCGTAATGCTTAGATCCCAACAAGTGACGTAAAAATTTTCAAATTTAAAAAAATTATTACTTGCAAAATAAATAAACAAAGAAAGATCGGGTTTTAGAATATATTTTTTTATAATTTTAGTGAAAGAACATGACAGTCGGCTTGTGTCAAAAGCAGTATTCGGGAATTTAGGTAGATAAATAATATTTTTAACGGGCTCCAATAATTTTCTTTTTTAATTAATTACTTCTATTTGCTTCCAGTTTATTTTTAAGGTGTATATTGTGTGGGTTAGGATGTCCAGTATATTTTCATTGAGTGCTGCGACTATTCCGAGATTTAAAGCCTACTGTATTCCCCAATTTTACTGACTAAATACGTAAAACCTGGAAGCAAATGACTTCCATTAAAAAGAAATAACAGAATGTATTTTAATAAACATGATTCACAACATTGAACAAAATGAAACTTTGAACTTCTCTAAGTGGTGGATAGTTTCAGATTGTCACGTCTTTAGGATCCAATAACCTAATATCAAGTTCGAACATACTGCCTAATTGTCAATGCATACTATTTAACTGTGCTTAGTCTAAAAAAAAATTGAATATTTAACTTTAAATTTTAATACGAAATTTTTTGTTATAACGGTCTCCAAAAAGATTTTATCTACCAGTCTTGATAACCTTACGTACAAGTGAAGTATTGGAATAAATTATCCAATAACTACACAATACGGTGAGTGCTTCCGATATGGTTCGTTTGATACCGGACGCCAGTTGGCTATGTCGGTTAGTTACGTAGCCGGATTCGAACCCCACACACGTGGTTACCCCACACGGTTTCTTATTCCCACTAAAACAACGAGAAAAAAAACCTATACGCGTATTAATGGCATTAGAACTGTATTTAAAAAAATCGCGGTACGTGATTGGTCGACTTCGTCTCCATAGCCCAATGGATTAGAAATGTCAAAATTTAGCGGGAAAACTGCTTTGAATTGTCAAACTCTATTTAATTATTTCTTTTGAGTGTGTAAGTGTGTGTATGTGTGTAGCATGAAATAATAAAATCAAAGAACTATAATTAATACTATTTGTCTTTCACAATTATAATTTTTATTTCATAAAATAAATTGAAATCGTGAACGTGCATCTTTTGTGTAAGACCCCGAAGTGAATCTGTGTTTTCTTTGGATTTTCTCCAGCCTCAGAACAGAAAATGTGGTGGCTACTGAAATTTTCGATTGTGCTACAATGTAAGTTTTATAAAAAATATTTATCTTTTATAATTTGTTTCTTCGATTTAGTATTGAATATTCTTAAAGGTCGTTTTAAATACGAAACAACTAAACTTAAACAAAATAATGATATGATTAAAAGTTTTACNGCAGACGCTCATACAGTTTGCCTAGAGACATGAGGAGGCTAATCGGGCGGTAGCTCGTCGGATGATTTTTTGGTTTACCGGGTTTATGTATGCCGATAACGTCCGCTTCTTTCCACACCGCGGGAAAGATACAGTTCGCCATAACGGCATTGAAAATAGATGCCAACATCACGATGAGTTGGACGGGTAGAAGTTTAATAACGCGGTTAGATATACCGTCGGAACCGGGTCCAACAAATGTATCAACAGAAACACGGAACGACAGTCTCGCTGACTGACAACATATATACTGTTCGAGACGGTATACAATTTAAAAAGGACTTACGTTATTTTATTTCCTTTTTTTCCTTTCAAGCTGATGGTCTAGAGAGACCGTATCAGCGTAACCTTAACTAGTAGGTGAGCTCACGGGGCTCAATCCTGACGACGTTACTAACACGAACCATAGCAAGAGCCGTGCTTCGTAGAATCTACCACCGGATCGGAAACGCGACCCACTGAGAAGATCCGGCGAGAAACTCAGTGGGCTGTGTCTGTGGGTTAGTTTACTCGCCGAGCTCTTCCGATCCCGAGGGTTCGACGAGAACGATGACCGGATTTTATTTCCCAGAATGTACTTCACTCTTACACTATTTTTGACAAGCATTAAATATTTCGAAAAGCGTAACAGTGCGTTAATATTACCAATAATCTACATATCAAGTATTAAGATTAATAAGTGGAACAATCGTTAGTGCACCGTTAACAAGACTTCGACGTGTCAGGACAAAGGGTCCGTCCTAAACAGCTCTATTTACACCCTGAGTCTTATCTTAAGTACAAGTGACAGAGCATGTTGCAAGCCCACATGATTGTGTATCATTACATTGATTATTACTGTCGTGAAGCAATCATTCGTTCCATTTAAATAAAGCAAAGTAAGTAAAGTAAACCGTTGGACCGAAAAATTTAAATTGTTAAAGATTGAGGTACACATCAGCATTCATCCTTGTTATTTTTAGGCTCAGCCAAAATGACTTAACGACCCAAGGAAGATGACATAGCTCGTAGTCATGTATATAGGTGACTACACTGGCTGCGTCCACCAAATATACCTGTAATTCACGACTTTGTTTTTTATGACTGAAACAGTACTAGCCATCTCTCTTATTACAANATTTAAATTGTTAAAGATTGAGGTACACATCAGCATTCATCCTTGTTATTTTTAGGCTCAGCCAAAATGACTTAACGACCCAAGGAAGATGACATAGCTCGTAGTCATGTATATAGGTGACTACACTGGCTGCGTCCACCAAATATACCTGTAATTCACGACTTTGTTTTTTATGACTGAAACAGTACTAGCCATCTCTCTTATTACAAGCTACTGTAAAACTATTAGGGCAATTTTACTAATACTAGTGGTCCCCGCAGTAGCCGAAATTCGACTATAATTAATTGAAATTAAGAGTTTAACCATTATTATGGTTCTATTATCAAACACTATTATACTTCTATAATCATACAGATATTAATATATTCTATATAATACAGATTTCACCAAAACTACACTATATTAGATAAATAATATTAAAAGCAAACAATATTAATCTATTCTCAATTTGACCACAGACTTTAAAGAATAACAAAAGTTTCACAATTGACAATACACCAAGAGTATATATTTTATACGTATGTGTTGTGTCAAATACGTTGTAGTGTCTGTAATGTATGTTTTATTCATTTAATGTATTTTTTATGAATAATTTAAAAAATATATAAGCATCCTGCACTTCTTCTCTATGTTCTCTATAAGTGTGAGAAATTTCATACTCCTCCGTCCGCGCAATTTTCGTAAAAAGGGGTGCAAAGTTTTCGCTTCACGTATTAATATATAGATGATTGGAGGGATTATTAAACCTTGTCTGGAATGCCTTCTACGAGCAAAAAAGTCTGCCAACTTAATATTGCTGAGCGAATTAAAGTGTAACAATGATAGTTGCTTTGTATTTTGTAATTCTAATGCACAGGCAGTCTATAGGCACTATTAGAAGCTCCCTGATTCGCTCGTGAAGTTCTAGAAAAATCGATTGCTGTAAATTGTCTGAAATTCGAGTTTTTTTTAAAATTCGATATTCGATAAACCATTAAGATGACACTAAATTTATTAACTGGTAAGTGTATTTGCGAAATAACAATCTCATGATTATAGATTTATTGATTGATATATTGATTATAGATATTGCTTCGCAAACTAGTTAACATGATGTGGTCACAAAAATTGTTGTATCAATTTTTTAAACATTTTTCTGTATATTTATATTAATAGAAACGAAAGCGGGTATATTAAGAAATTAAAAATGCAAATACGATGTCAGAACGTCCGACTCGAATGTCTTCGGTGTACGTGCCAAGTTTCTTAAGTAGAATCGATTATTGTAAATTGAAAATGATAGGGTCTATTTTAATACGATTAATATTAAGGTGGATGAACTCTAAGGATGACAATGTCAGTGAACTTTTCACTGAGTACTTAGCGGAATTGAATATATTCGAAGAGATAAAATCCGTAACATATTGAGTAATTAGTAGTTTTTCGGCATTTAGAGAGTTCGCTCTGACAGGTTCTACCATCGTGCCTATTTCTTCTATTTTTCAGGGTCTACATACTTTTACTGGTGGTAGGACCTCTAGTGAGTCCGCACGGGTAGGTACCACCACCCGGCTTATTTCTGCTGTGAAGCAGTAATGCGTTTCGGTTTGAAGGGTGGAGTAGCCGTTGTAACCATACTGAGACCTTAGAACTTATATCTCAAGGTGGGTGACGTATTTACGTTGTAGATGTCTATGGGCTCTAGTAACCACTTAACACCAGGTGGACTGTGAGTTTGTCCACCCATCTAAGCAATACAAAAAAAACTAGTGTAGTGCAACTTACAAAAATGACTTCGTTACAACTATTTATTGTCGTACGTTTACTGAGTACTGTGTACTGTTTGCTGTCGTGTTTTTTTTTTCCTCCAAAATATTCAGTACTTTTTTGGTCACGAAAGAACCTAACAAGATATATCTGTTTTTCCGCTTTCAATACCCTAAAATCGGAAAATAATATTTATCAGTCATGTAAATGAACCCTTATCTATATTTAGTTGACGTTGATTTGTTAGTGTCGTTTTCTTGTAAGCGATAGATAACCTTTGTTGTGAAATTCAACGATTGTGAATGTGTCATTAGAATCGTATCGTTTAGAAACATCCTTTTCATTCATAATATCGATAAATATATAAATATCGATTTTTTAGCCCACTGAGTTTCTAGTCGGATCTTTTCAGTGGGTGACGATTTCAATCCGGTGGTAGATTCAGCAAAGCACTAACTTTGCTAGGGCTAGTTTTAGCAAATTTGCCAAGCTAGTTTCACCCCACGAGATACTAGCAAATGTAGGAAAAAAAAAATTGTTTTAAGCATTCGTGGCCATCTACATTGTACACGTTATTGTTTAAGGGGCTCTTACTAGGTATAAGCTTGATGTGTTCTAGATATTTGGGCATGTTGCAAGCGCCATGATCACAGGCTTATAGAACTGAACTCTTTGAATGTAAAAATCGATGTAGGAATCCTTGCAACATCAGTGTGTTCTAATGTTTCTTTCGAAAACGACCTAATCCATGACCAGACAGGATCTTGTATGACAATCGGCTTAAATGTACTGAGAGACATGTATAAACTAATTCCTTCCGTATTAGAAGGCGTATGTGAGCACACTCGGGTAGATATCGCCGTGTTGCCTGTTCCTGTCGTGAAGCGGTCATGCGTTTCGGAATCGAGGTTTTTTTTTATTTATAGCTTATATGGGTGGACGAGCTCATAGCCCATCTGATGTTTACCGGATTACCGGAGCCCATAGACATCTACAACGTAAATGCGCCACCCACCTTGCGACATAAGTTCTAAGGTCTTAGTATAGTTACAACGGCTGCCCCGCCCTTCAAACCGAAACGCATTACTGCTTCACGGCAGAAATAGGGACCTACTCGTACGGACTCACAAGGGGTCCTACCACCAGTAAATAAATAAACAATCGGCTTTGCTGACATCAATGACGATATCGCTCACCGTTAGTTAGGCTGTATGCTTGTCTGCATCCAATGGCAAAAAAGTGTCAAGGTAGCTTTCATTCACGGTATAATGTCTATGGACTCCGGATATCACTTAACATAATGTGGGCCGTGAGTTCACTCACAATCCTACGACTTAAAAAATAAAAGTTGTGTTTTGTATAATCGCTTGGTTGTCATACCTGACTGCGGTACCCTTGTATCAGATTACACTATCCTGATCATATTTAGTATTTTTGTTATGATTAAGTTCTAATTTCATTACATATGTGTGCTTTCGGTACTCACAACATGAGATCATCCTAGCAACATCTTTGAATGTGAAACGCTTAATATTATTTTTCAATCATTTCAATAATTAAATACGTGTAATTTGTATTTCTCCAAGCACACCCACAACCACATTAAGCTTAATCCATAAAAAATCTCACATCTTCAATAATTATTTACCCGGATCTGTGTTAATAGAAATACCTGCGTCGAATAAAATCGAAGGTGTCGATTTACGAAAAACCCCGTGAAAATCCACGAAGACGCGAAATACTCAACATAATTGAATCTCGCAAAGCATGCACGCCCCAAGCGTACGGGCTCCATGAATGATGAATCGGCTCCAAGAATTTGACTACAGATTGGATGAGGCCGTTTGAATAATCAAACATTGATTTTTTAAGTTGAAACAAACGTCTCGTCGGCTTATTTTTCAATTTAAAAGTGATTGGTTTAGGTAAATTATTATTAATAGACATAGTCTTTAGAGTATATTAGA